CCATCGCCCAAGTTCACAAAGATAAAAGTGGCTGGCATGGAAGACGGTGATGGCCTTGGTGCATCTGATGCTTCACCCACGGAAGACAACCATTTCACTGAACCAGCAGAGACAAGCGACTCCACCTTGGAGCTCTCCACTCCAAACTACGCCTTCCGAACAGCCACCACTCTCTTCCCTTTTGAAAACTTCACCCTCGACTCATCCGACTTCTTCTTTAACTGCTGTGATTGCTGTGCTGCCACCCCAGGGGAGAAAGGGGAACCTGGAGAGCGAGGATTGCCAGGTATGGGAAGGCAAATGCACAACTGAGTGATTTATGATGGCCTTTTGTCATTCATATTTCCAGACTGAAATAAGCAGGATGTGTGTGTGTGTGTGTGTGAGAAAGAGAGAGAGAGAGAGAGAGAGGAGGGAGGGAGGGAGATAAATAGGTGCAAACATTTTAATAATCATGTCAAGCGCTGGGGAAGAGAGATGCGGTGCCATGATCAAGGTAAAGCTAGAATATATGAAAATATAGATTTTTAAAAATGCAACACAGAATCTGTTTGTCTCAAGCATCTGGTGGGAGTATACTGCTGCTGAAACAGTTCTTAAATTATTTGGGGGCTGGTGAGTAAAAAAGAGCAGCTTGCTGAAATCCTTAAGCCCTGCTCCTCAATTTTAACCAAGTCACCCCTGTAACTTTCTGGGAGAGCAGTCCAAATCCGCTTTGGGGTGGTGGTTTGGATTGGGAAGAGTTGCCCTTCGTTCCAGCTCTGCTGTCCTCCATTGGCCACCTGCAGGCTGATGCAGGGTCGCTGGAGCGGAGTGTCAGCAGCCAGCCAGCAATAAATCACATGGAATAAGTGAAGTTAACTCTTTATTAGAAGAAGCAAGGTCCACTCAGGAATACCAGGTCTAATGGGTACAGCAACTCTTCTCAGTTGATCTTGCCCCTATGAGGTAGTTGTGGAGACTGAAAGTCCTTGCCTTCCCTATGAGATAGTTGTGGAGACTGAAAGTCCTTGCCTTCCCACAGCTGCCTAAGTCTCCTCCTCTCCCAGGTTTTCCCAAGCAATCAGAGAGAGGAGGAGAGCTTGTCGCAGCAGGAGGGGGAGATACCCTGGCTTCTTCACCAACCTGACTCATCTTTGCCTCTTGGCCTCCTTCCTCTCCTGCTTCTGCTTCTGGACTTCTCTCTGCCAGAGGCTCTTCCCGCTCACTGAACCCTGTTAGCTCTTCAGCTGCCAACACCTCCTCCTCCCAGTACTCTCCCTCTTCTCCTTCTGAACACCGCCAATCCCTGGGCTCTGAGCCTTTTTTCCCTGGGGATTCCCTAGCTGGTCCCTTCCACCATTCCTCTGTATCCGGCCAGTCCATGACACAGCTACTCCATTTGTCCACTGCATGTGGGCATTCTGGGCAATGGAGGCGGGTGTTGAGCCAACTTGGGATCTATTGGATCCTGAACCAATCTGGCTGCCATCACATGATGGCAGGAGGCCTGATCCAGGCCTGATCACTGCACCAGCTCCATGCCAGTGCAGTGATCTGCTTGCCCTCCCTTTCACCCTGGTTGCTGTGTGTGGCAGGGCTAAAGATGCAGCAGAGTTTAGTTGTCTCCCTAAAACAGTACCTAAGTAACTAAGGTGCCTATCACAAAAGGCCCCTTCTTCAGGCCCTTCTGTAATTTGAGCATTCCTGTATTTATCTTCCATGGCTAATGACATATACATCTCTTTTAGGATTTCAAAAGTCTGCTAGTTTGATAACAACAACATCACTGAGTAATCTTCATTCCTATTTAGTGTCTGTGAAACTAGATGCAGTGTAAAGGACAATATATCAATGCCTTGTTGGCAAACTTGTGTGGTCATGCAACTTGCTTCCAGGGGGACAGGCCTGTTGCTCTGTTGCAGCAAAAGCAACACAACATCTTGTGAAGCTTTCGAGACCAACAGCAATCTGTCACGGCATAAGTCTCATGAGATATTGAAGTGGTTAGCCCTCAAGATGCTACAAGACTTTTTGTTTTGCTTGCAGCAGATATTTCAAATGTCCACTCTATAAATAGGTCTGAAAGGAGAGGCGGGAGAAAAAGGACTTCAGGGTCTACCAGGAAGTCCTGGACTACAAGGTGCGCGAGGATTCAAAGGAGACAAAGGTATGGACACTGATGAAGTGAACTGTTTGAGAAATGAATGGGGATTAGTTTTGCACAGTAATGTCTTTGGAGCGCAAAATGAAGGAAACCACAACTTCTTTCACATTTTCAGGCTTGAACCTCTTTTTTCAGCTTCTGACCTCCAATAGGGTTAGCATCATCAGCATCATCTTGCCCTTCACCCTCAGGTTCCAGACTGGGTTACAACCCTCAATGTTAAGAAAAGTCTAAAACAACTTACAATCACAGACACTGGCGTAGCATGGGGGGGAAGGGGTCCAAAGTGTCAGGTGCCTTGGGTGCAAAACTATTGGGGTGCAAAATTTCAGAAGTAGAAAAAAAATAGCACACCCTCTTCCTCAGCCTGTGCCTCTCTCAAGAGGCAGGGAATACTCTTCGCTGCGCACCCTGCTGCTGTTGCTGGCAGTAGCAGCAGTTTCGTGGGCGCCTAGCCCCCAGATCTTTAGATGAGGCTGAGGCAGCCTACTGAGGAGGAGGCGGTGGGTGTGCTTGAGTCAGATGAGGCCAGCCAGCCAAGCAATTAACCAACAAACCAACCAACCAACCAACCAACCAACCAACCAACCAACCAAGGTTGGATGTCCAACTGTCAGGGATTGGACTACCTGTGATTCCTGCATTTCAGGGGGTTGGACCATATGACCTTGGATCAAACTCTACAATTCTATGATTCCAGCAGAATTTATTTTATTTGTCTGACCATCTTTGTATCAGGAAACCTTCTTTCACAGGTCACAATTACCCGACGGACAATTGAATTCATGGAATGTAACCTAAAATGTTTATTCGGACTTACTATATGTTTGTTTGGAACGAGATGTGCCCTCATTTTAAGTGAAAGGCAAGAGATGAAATGTGATGTATAAGTCATTTGACATGTAGGGACATCGCAAAGAACACCAATAACAGAGCATTCTATTGTAAAAATGTCACAGGAGATAAAGGAGAACATGGAGCCCAAGGAGCAAATGGAATCCCTGGATTTCCAGGCAAGACAGGAGAACAAGGTATGCCACATTAAATTTGATGAGAGTTAGGGAGATGGGGCTGTTCATAAGGCATAAGAATTTTACACTCTCGTTGAACCCAATCTCTTCCATTGGCCACAAGTTGTCCCCATATGCCCAGCTGTCACATGTCAATGCTAAGCACAGATTGTATACTGCTTGTAGTGGATCAGTGCCGAGTTCTGGGGTGGGAGGTGGATGAATGAGTGAGGCCTGGTGACAAGGGAAAAGAGGCCCAGAAAATCACAAAGCCATGTGAAAAGTGGGCAGATGGGAGATGGAGTAGGATACGAAGTTACAGGAGTTGAATATATATATATATCATACTGTTATAGTTTGGTAAAGTATGTTTGCACATGTGTAGAAAGAAATAATCTAATAAGAATGCTGACTGAAAAAATAAAAGAAACAGAAATAAAGACATGGCAAACAAAACCATTCTGGCTTTACATGTGGCCAAAATGGAGCCAGTAGCTCATACTGTAACTGGCTAGAACTTGGAGAAGAAGCAGGAAGGAAGAAAAATCTGAAAGGAAGTGGTCTTCTTCACCAACAAGCAGTTACTAGAAGAGAAGGAATCAACGAGGAGTAAGAACAGGTTGCCTTTCAGCCCCCCCCCCCAATTCAGGTAGTGAATTGCAAGTGTCACTGTTTACTCCCAACACATACTGGATCATTTTGCTAGAGAAGCAACCAACAGCCCTCCCTCCATGCCTCCTTCGTGTCAAATTATGCTAACTTCACCCTTGAAACCTTCCAGGTATTTAAACGAAACACCAGTAGATGGGTTGCTACCATTTTGCTATGGCACCTGGTTGGGAATGACATCCTTAAATTGCCATTACTTGTAGTCCTGTGCTTCTCTTCAAGTTTTTTTCCTTTTTCCTTTTAATCACACCAGGCTACACAACCCTTCTAGTCAATACAATTACATCATCACAAAGTTCCTTCCCCGGTGGAGGGGCTCTTGGATCCCCATGACTTCACATCAGGGGCACCAACCATAGGGGGTATGGTGAAAGGGGCCTCGGCCCCCTCAATATTTGTGGGCAGGGGGCTGAGCCCTCCCAATATTGAGGGGGCTGCCATCCCCTGCTGCTAACGGGAGAGTGTTGGTGCACCAGGTGGGGGTGGGACATGTCATGTGACACCGCCCCCCCAATGCGTGTATGTCTGTGTGTGGGGGGGGCAAGTTGGTGCCCCTGCTTCACATGTACAGTTCTATGCCTAATGGACCTTTGCAAAGAATAGTATCCTCTTTTGTGAAGGAGGGGCCAGGGAAACCAGGTAATCACACACCGGTGAAGCCCTGCATCATGTTCTGGGAGATGTGTGAGGTATTTGGAGGGGGCGCTGCGAGCCGACTACTCCTTGGAACAGCTGAGAACTATAGTGGTCCTCAGATGTTCCCAGACCCAATCTCACCACACGTTCCTCTCCCTCACCAACCTGCTGATAAGTGTTGGAAAGCTGCCATATACCAAGTCAGACGATTGGTCCATGTAGCCAGTGTGGGGCATGTAGAGCAGTGGACTCGTAATCTGGGGAACCGAGTTCGCGTCTCCGCTCCTCCACATGCAGCTGCTGGGTGACCTTGGGCTACTCATGCTTCTCTGAAGTCTCTCAGCGCCACTCACCTCACAGAGTGTTTGTTGTGGGGGAGGAAGGAAAAGGAGAATGTTAGCCGCTTTGAGACTCCTTCGGGTAGTGATAAAGCGGGATATCAAATCCAAACTCCTCTTCTTCTTCTAGCTCACTATTGTCCACAGTGAGTGACAGTGGCTCTCCAGTGGTAGTAGATAGAGGACATTTCCAGGCCTACCTGGAGACGCCAGGGATTAAATCTGGGACCTCCTGCATGCAAATCAGATGCTTTGCCACTGAGCTATGGGCCCTTGCTATTCAAAGAATTTTTGCATTGGGATTGCTCCTCAGCATTTATTTAGGCTAACCAGCTGTGCTGAGCAGGGAGGAGGCCTGCAAGAAATTAGCTTGTGGGTTAATTCATGAACTAGGTTGCAATGTCCCTTGTGGTTTACTTGACCCCATGACCCTATATTTGTGTCTTTACTATTTCTAGGTGAAATGGGATTCAAAGGAGACAAAGGAAACTATGGCCTGCCGGGCGCCAAGGGGCAAAAGGGCAACAAGGGTGAAATGTGTGAGAACGGCACCAAAGGAGAGAAGGGAGACAAAGGGGAGCTGGGATTGCCAGGGATCGATGGGGAAAATGGGGAGAAGGGAGAAAAGGGGGAGCTTGGGGAAAAGGGCTACTGTGGAGATCCTGGCGATAAGGGTGATAGGGGAGAACGGGGGGAGATTGGGCCCAAAGGAGACAAAGGTGTCAAAGGAGACATGGGGGTCGAGGGGATCCATGGGATGGATGGGCAGAAGGGAGAAAAAGGAGACCAAGGTTTTAGGGGCGACAAAGGTGACCCAGGGCCAATTGGGATAATGGGACCCCCTGGGGTGAAAGGAGCGACTGGCTTCAAAGGAATCAGGGGACCCCCTGGGAAGAAAGGAGCAAAAGGTCCCAAGGGGTCAAAGGGCGAGATCTTAAGCCCCCCCAGATCAGCTTTCAGCGTTGGCCTGTCCAAGCCTTTCCCACCTCCCAACATGCCTATTAAGTTTGACAAGATTCTGTACAATGACCAGGAAGATTACAATCCCTTGACGGGGAAATTTAATTGCACCATCGCTGGGGCTTATGTCTTCTCCTACCACATGACCATCCGAGGGCGGCCTGCCCGCATCAGCATTGTGTGCCAAAACAGGAAGATGGTCAGGTCTCGGGAGACCTTGTATGGGCAAGAGATAGACCAGGCTTCCTTCCTAACCATTCTGAAATTAAACATAGGGGATCAAGTTTGGCTGGAGGTCACGCGAGACTGGAACGGGGTTTATGTTAGTGCTGAAGACGACAGCATATTTTCTGGTTTCCTCTTATATCCTGATGAAATGCTTGACACCTTACTATAAGTATGGCGTCTGGATTTGAATGCATCACCAATAATTTTTCCCCCTTTCTCTCTTGTTTATTTTAAAGAAGCATATTTTATAATCCATATCATAGTCCGCAATCCATATATTTATAATATTTCTTTTAAAAGGCATGTTTATTAATTGTATTGCACTAAAGCACGTAGAATCTATTTCAGAGTAAATTTTCATTGTTGCATAATAAAATGTAATAAAGGTTTTATTTTTGGCAGTGGTCTGGTTCAGCTAGTTTCCCTGATGTTCTCCAGATGTTTTGGCCTACAGTTCCCTTAAGCCAGGCAAGTCCAAAGTCTGTTTCAGGGGCCTAATCTGGCCCGCCGGTTGATTCAATCTGGCCCCCATTGCAGTGTATGTCCTGGGGTAAAATCCTAAAAAAAGCTCAGCAACTTCAATCCTAAAGAAAGCTCAACAACTTTGGTTGGCCCTCATGCATGTTCACTTCATCAAATCTGGCCCTCTTTGAAAAAAGTTTGGGCATACCCAACAGTCAGGGACAATAGGAGTTGTGGTCCAACAATATCCAGAAAACACCAGGCTGTGGGAGGTGGTGCTGGATAAAACCTCCAAAAGGAGTTCATGTTTTAATTTTTAGCTAATTAAAATTATTCTGTGATCTCAACTTAGTTTTAGATTAATTCAGACATGGTCAAGCTCTGCATTCCTTCTGCAGTCATGACCTTCCATGGAGTGGGCATGGCTATTGTAGAATCTGAAAAAGGCTTGCAGGATTTTACCTAAAGGTATCTGCATTGAATAGCTAAAAATATCTTGTGCTCATTTCTTCCAGTCGCATTAATCGTTTTAAGAAAGTTTGTTTATCAATCCAATATCATCAAGTGCAATGAAAGTTTGATGTAGAAATTGTATCATATAATCAATGTATTAAAATAAGTCTATTCGCTCATCAACTTGCTTTTGTACTTAAGTAAATTGCATTCCTTGGAGTGTTCTATAATAAAGTAATATGACTGTTTGATTGCAAGTGTTTCTTCTGCATAATATATAGATGTGAAACAAAATGGGACACAAATTGTGGTAATCAAGTGGTGAGAAAGCACATGAAGTATGCAAATGTGCGAACCAATCCTCCGTATGGTTTGGGAGGCATGAACAGTCATTTTCCTCACAGAAGATGCATTATGGCAAAGTTTGGCAATGGCTAACCAGTGGCATTGGCCGTGTTTACATATAAGACTAAGTGATGGGTTGTCTAGCATAAGTGCATCTTGTTTGACTGTCCAAACTTGCAGTGCGATTTGAAGCCACGGTTTGTTGTTGGCCTATGAATCATGGCTTAACTGTGGTTTGTCATTACATCAGAACCCAGCTTCCTGGCTTAACTTTGGCTTGTTTTTGTGCGCCTCCATAATTGCTTGCCAAAGAGCAGCTGTCGAGATGTAGCCCTCTCTCTTTCTTCTGCCTGCCACCAGCCAACTCCCCCTGCATCAAATTCTTCACAATAAGCAAAGTATGAAAGCAATGCTTCTGCTGTTTTGCTAACATTTATGCAGCACTGCATGCTGAAAACAGAAGGTAAAGATTACCTCAAGTAGATCATCTGATCAGTGTAGAAGAAGCAGCTCTTAAAGCAGCTTTTTCCTTCCAAGCCTAGATCCTCTGCTATTGGACTACCAAACAACATTTCTTGAGCCCTTGTCTGAAAACCTCCTCCTACTTCTCTTTAGCTTCATAACAACTCCTTAACCCACACTTGTGTCTTTTACTCTGCTATTTACCCTCACCCTGGCACTGGGAAGCAGACTACTGTGCCTGCCTCACAAGGTCTTTCTAAACCGCCTCCCAAAATATATCAGATGGAGGCAGCGCTGTTCTTTCTGTTCACAGCGGGGGCTGAGATGACACAGAGGACTGAACGAAAAGGCTCCGCCCGTGTTATTAGCCCTCTCTCCAGGAGCATCATGTTCGGGGGCTAATACAGTTTGTTTTCAGACAAGTGTTCCTGGTAGCTTGAAACTACACTGGAAACACGGCGATTTACCCAGATGGAGATTGCAACTGCCACAGTCGCCTTAATAAGCTGCTTGATGTAATCATCTAACAGCAGTGTGCTCTCCTTGTAGGATGTGCCATTTGTCACTGTCATTAACCTGTGGGAAGCAGGGGGTGAAAGTGGTTGTACACTGATAGCAAAAGAAGGAAAGTTAATGATTTTGCCTAGCTGGGTTGCAGGAAAGATTTCTCTGTGTGAGATAGATCGATCTATCATCTATCTATGTCTATATCATCTATCATCTATCTATCTATCTATCTATCTATCTATCTATCTATCTATCTATATCTATCTATCTATATCTATCTATCATCTATCTATCATCTATCTATCTATCATCTATCATCTATCATCTATCATCTATCATCTATCATCTATCATCTATCAACTATATCTATCTATCTATCATCTATCTATCATCTATCTATCTATCTATCTATCTATCTATCTATCTATCATCTATCTATCTATCATCTATCTATCTATCTATCTATCTATCTATCTATCTATCATCATCTATATCTATCTATATCTATCTATCTATCTATCTATCTATCTATCATCTATCATCTATCTATCTATCTATGATGTATCTATCTATCTATCTATCATCTATCTATCTATCATCTATCTATCTCCATCTCTCATTTATCTATCTATCTATCTATCTATCTATCTATCTATCTATCTATCATCTCTATCTATCTATCTATCTATCATCCATCTATCATCTATCTATCTATCATCTATCTATCTCTATCTATCTATCATCTATCTATATCTATCTATCATCTATCTATCTATCTATCTATCTATCTATCTATATCTATCTATCATCTATCTATCTATCTATCTATCTATATCTATCTATCTATCATCTATCTATCTCTATCTCTATCTATCTATCTATAGCTATCTATCATCTATCTATATATCATCTATTTATATCTATCTATCTATATCTATCTATCTATCATCTATCTATCTATCTATCATCTATCTATCTATCTATCATCTATCTATCTATCTATCTATCTATCTATCTATCTATCTATCTATCATCTATCTATCATCTATCATCTATCTATCTATATATCTATATCTATCTATCTATCATCTATCTATCTATCTATCTATCTATCTATCTATCTATCATCTATCATCTTTATCATCTATCATCTTTCTATCTATCTATCTAGATATACAGGATGTGAAGATGTCGGGATGTGTGTGTGTGCGCGCGCGCGTTTGTGTGTACAGCAGGTGTGGGGAACATTTGGCCCTCCAGATACTGCTGAACTGCAACTCCCATCATCCCTGAACATTGATCATGCTTCCTAGGGCTGATGGGAGTTGTAGTTCGGCAACTTCTTCAAGGCCAAATGTCCCTCACCCTCACTGGTATGTTTGTGTGTTGCATGTATTTGCATGTGGGTGAGAAACTGTGGAGCAGCTGTGTCCATTGACAGCTTTGGCCTGGCCCACATTTTGACCCTGCTCCCCCCTCAAGAAGCTGGCAACAAGGAAATGTGGCCTATGGGCCTGAAAGGGCCTTTGCCTCTGCAGCAGCTGAGTAAGGCGCCTTGGCTCAGTGGATTTTTCTTTCATCTCCTCTCTCAGGAGCATCAAAGGGAGCACTTGCAAGCGCCAAGTGCAGAGTTAAGATGCCAGGGAAGCAGGTGTATTGTGCACTATAGAGCTGTTGTGCTGAAAAATGAAGGTGCTTCACTGTAAGCAGGGGGGCTTCATGAAGATGAATTCAAAATGTAGCAACCTTGAAACAAGGAGTTCCTCTGAAAGAGACATCATATTATTTGTTTCAGAGAGAGCCACAAGGATTGTTCATACCAGGCTGAGCCAGATTAATGTGGTTGTCAGTTTTATGCTCCAGAAGGGGTGCTTTGAAATGGAACTTCTCATCAAATATGCTGTCCCCCTTGGTGGAGAACTTTAAAAATTGAAACATACTTGTGGCCTTTTTATTGTCGCATTCCCCATAATCCACCAAGCTTTCTACCTGTTTCACCGATATTACATCTTCCCAGTTTTACAAATCTTTTTTTGTTAATCCTCCTCCCATTGATTTGTGGGTTCATTCCCATTAATGGAGCCATGTGGGTCTATGCAAGGCAATAAGGCATTGGAAATGGCCTGATTTTGAGTGGCAATACATGACATTGGCCAAAACACCCAGTAGCATTGTGTGCTTAAGCTGGTGTGTCGTTGCATCATTACCTTATTATCTGATGATCTGCTGAATGTACAGGGACATATGACTGAACATTTCAAAATATTGCTGAATAAATGTTTGCGTGGGGAGAGTTTAAAGTCAAATCTTGTATGGGGAACTGTTTTGAGCCTGATGGATGCATTTTCCTGTTGCCTGTTTTTGTTTTTGTTTTACTTAAATATTTCTATACTGCTTTCCATAAAACACCATTGGCCAAAAGGATGGCAGAAGATGTCGTCTAATAACAGCTGGATGGCACCATGTTCCCACAAGGCAAGACACAGTGATAACAGCAAGAACCTTTATTGAACTAACAGAACTGGACAACAGGGGCAAAGCAACTGCTTATATACATTTCTGAAGGCCTGGGCCACTCCCACTCCCAACGTGATTGGCTATCTAAACTTCCAAGCTGCGAATCATGACTCAGAGTTTAAGAACCAATGGCAGAGGCCCAAATCCTGAAATGTTATGTGATTGGATATCATCTATAGAATCAGAATACAGGGGCTCAGAATCCTTAGTGCAGACTCAAGCTCAGGCAAACACAGACCACTGAATACATAACAATCAATGCCCCTGCAAAAGATCACACATCTTTCAGCTGTATGGGGGCATTGACTCAAGCTGCAGGGGGTGGACATCAGCTCTCTCTGTAGCCTTCCAAA